AACTGGATGGTCATATGTGCAAATTAAAACCCAAGAAAAAAAATTACATCTCATTATTAAGACAAATTAAATGTCCTTAACCTTATGCTATTTATTTATTAGAGTTTGTTCTTGTTTTTGCTGCACTTAAAACATGACATTACACCAGACTGCTAGCCTGGCCCTTGCCTTCCTACGCAGTTCGGGGCTGGTTTTAACCAGGCTACCATACTGCAGGACAGAATTTGTTTTGTGGGAAAAAATGTATTTTTTAAAGGAAGAACTAAAAACTAGGGTTGTGCAATATGGTGATAATATTTGTAAATATTGCGAGGTCGATATCAGGTTTGAGATTTGTCTTTTTTTCTTTCCTCACTTTCTAATCTCTATTTCCTACTCTCTGTGACCCTTTTTTAAACAAGGTCATTCGTGTCTAGTATGAGCTTTTGCTGCAATGATTATCTTTCCTACTGGCTAAATATTGCATTAGCATAAAAAATACAACTTCAAAACTCTTCAAACACATTAGTCAACTATTATTGCACTCCAAGCAGTCTTTTGCAATATTCTTGCGCACACTGATATTACGATGGCGATGTGTGTGCAGCCATACAAAAAATTCTGTTTTTACTGTTGGTTTCATTCATTTTATTATAACTACACAGGTGGTCTATTAAAGCTTGTTAATTACCACAATTAAACATTTAAATCTGATTTTCCCTGATTATAAATTACAGATGATGCCCAGAAAGTTCGAGTTAAATTTTCCACCTGTTTAGGTGGCATCTGCTTCAGCTCATGTTATTGAGCAGGAAAATGAACAGCACGGTTTCTGTAGAAAGCTAGTTTTAGTAGCCTCGTCTACCTCTCGTGTTTCCCCTGACTTTAATTTTAAATATTACAAATGGCAAACTTTGAGTTTTCTCCACTAGGTGAAAACATTGAGGCTGTGCCCATTTGTTGCTTAGCTGTGGTGCGTTCACAAACCAGGCGGGTTGTGGGTGGTCTTTGCCTCAGGTGGAGGGATTAAAGGATCTGAGGATGGAGAGGGAAATAGATCGATGGGTCTGGATCTCGTCCTCACTAATCAGGGTGTTGCTTCAGTCAGTTGTGCTGAAGAAAGAGTTTAGTCGAGCAAAACTCTTGATTTACTGGTCTGTTTATGTTCTCAGCTCATGATTTAGATCAGGGATAGTCAATCCTGGTCCTGGAGGGCCGCAGTCCTGCATGTTTTACTTGTTTCTTTGCTCCAGCARGCCTGATTTGAATGAATGGATAATTTTCAGGCTTCTGCAGAACTTAGAAGAGGTAATTCACTGACTGAATCAGGTGTGTTAGAGCAGTGGTTCCCAAACTTTTCAGCTTTTGACCCACAAAATAAAAGCAGCAGAGACCTGTGCCCCCCAGCTGTTGTCAGTTGATAAACATAGTTTTCACATCAAATAAATTGCTTATTACATTATTTTTGTCCATTTTAAGTACACAAGTCATAATTTTGTAACAGCAAAGGCAACAATGTTCTTAGTTGTCATTTTTTAAGTGTAATTGTGACCCATCACATCGAAACAAGGATTAAGTCCAAAAGTGGTATAAGGAGAAATAGGCAAATATAGTGTTTTGACTAAAATGTTAACAAAAATTGCATTTTGTCAAAATATAATGAATAAAAGCCTTATTAATGTATCATTTGAATGAACTGCCTGAAATATAATCAAGAAACAAAATTTTGAAGCACTTTTTTTGAGCAGTAGCAACAAAAAAAACTGATTTTGAGGAAAAATATCTTAAAATTTTGAGATTTTCCCTGTGAGCTAGCAAAGCTGTGTTTCTTTTCAGCTGGGAAATCTCAATATTCAAATAAAATTTTAGGTTTCCTCTTTATAAGGACATCAAAAATTCCTCATTAAAATGACAACATTAGGATTCAGGCCAAATATTTATGTATTATTGTAACCAACAAGACAAATTAAGTCATAAATATGGATTTAATTATGATATCAGAATGATCCAGGTATCAAAATGTAGCACTAAATAAAACAAAAATATTGGTGGTAATTTTTGACTGTGTAACTT